AGCTCTGATGCTGCCGTTAAAACAAATAAGTTCACTGATATAACCCGTTAAAACTTTACATTACGATATCCGAAACTTATAAAGACGGCATGCGCAGTACTGTTAAAGATATGCGAATCATCCCCGTATGGATGGATTTGTCTCGAAGTGAAACAGATAAATAAATAAACATATATACTGGATGCGAATTTCCCAAAATTGCATGCCAATTTGGCGTGCCGCTCATTTTGCTTACCACTATGGTCGGGATGTTGATTGAAAACCTTGAAACGAACAAATTTTCGATTATGAAGGTTCCTTTTCCATTACGCTAGTAGTCACTGTAAGAGGCGCTTTTTATTGCCATCTATCCAGAAAGAATTATGGCGGCCATTGCACCGTGTACCGGTTAGCCAGGAGGTTTCAGTGACGCACTGAGCGAATATGGTTTCAATTGTCTCGTTTTAGTCCGTTTCGGATCGGTAACTGTCTTCCAAAATGATGGATGTTATGGGGGTGTGGACTGTGGACGTAAGATGACGGACTAAGTAGTCAACATCAAAGAGCCGGTTACATAACGCCATGTTACACCGCCGTCCTCTGCGGTGTAACCCGGCCGCGGGCGGCCAGCGACGAGCGAGTCCCAATGACTTCGGTGTTGTCATTGCGGATCGGCCCGGTTCGCCGCCGCTCCCTGGCGGCCCTCCGCTCTGCGGGACGCGGGTTGTCCCGCCCCGAGGCGTTTAGGATCGGCCGTGCGAATGCGGTGGCTCCCGCCTCCGGTCGGGTGCGTGGCCTACCCGTGGCGACCGGCTCGCTCCCATGGCCGACGGCGCGATCCCATCACGATGGGAATGCGTCCCTTCTCTGGGACGGTCGGAGAGGACCCTGCCGCGGACGTACCACCCCCTTGCGCGGGCGGCGCGATGGCCGGAGCATAATTGCTCGTGAGGGCGATGGCCCGACGCTGACAGCTGCGCGTGGTGTAGGAGCACGGGGGTCGGATCCAACCCGTCTGCTTGAGCAGGTGGATATCGGCAATCTGGCGGATCCGATCTGCCCTCGGGCCGATGATAGTGAAGCCTAAGCCGGGCACCCACACACCGCTCAGGAATATGATATAATATGAAATACAACACGTGCTTCACAGTAAATTAACCCGTACTGCACAACAACATGCATTGTACAACACGCGAGAACTGACAATGTGGCACTTGCTATATTATACATCATATGAAATCACCCGTTACTGGTGTGGCAGCGCACGGCAGCGCCAAGACCAAAACCGTCCAGGAAAGTCACTGGATGGGCCCATGCTGCTGAATTTGCTGGAGCGCAGTCCCGAACGGAGTCGGCTCAACAACTAGGGCTTTGCGTCACCTCGCGCCGCGTCAGCTTCAGTTGGAGGCTCGAATATGACGTGTGCGGTCGCGACGGATAGAACCCGCGCCACGTGGATTCAATTGTATTTGCCTCGAGTGTGCATTTAAAGTACTCTTTCCAATATCCTCGTTAAGAATCCAACTACATAGAGGCCCTCTCTCGAGAAGCTCAAATGCCAATAAACACATGTTTTGCTCGTCTATACAGAACAAATTTAATTTCCTATTTTACGAAATGATTTAGGCTCCATTTGATGGCAAGGTGACGATTAGTGCCTGGCAACACTTAACAGAGGATTGAAAATCCTACAGAATTAATTCCGGATTATTTGTCAATTCGAAGCCGAAAATGGTCCAAGAGATACCGTCCTACTGAGTTGCTATGAAATGGTTGAGAGGCACTGGGTTCATCCGTTATTACTCAATGAACTTAATTAGGTATAAACTGTAATTCTAATAATGAAGATACCAACTTATGCATTATGAAATTTAAATAAAGGCACATTAAAATGAGCACTCAGCGCTCCATTCAAAGAATTTCTGCTCAATAAATGTTGCCATTAAACCTGGATGCAAAGCTGTTTAGAACGATTGTTGCTGGCACAGTGACTGAACTTATTTCGTGTTATCGCTACCACATTTTAAGCAAGGAAATGACAGCGCAAAAATGCATGGATTGAACGAACGTATTAACTACTTTAAACATAACATTGAAGATTTGACGAGACATTTTACGTTTTGCGTCAAAAGAAATTGCAATGAACCGTAAGATTAAATCACTTCCCTGAATTGAAAATGGGGAGACTTTAATGTGCTCGGCTTCCACCGCCTTGCACCAAACCTTGACATCGGGGCCGATCTAAAAGTTTACTGCCAGAATGCGCGGCTCATCTTGGTGTGATGTGGGGATAATAATTAATCGGGGCTTTGCTGCCGAGCTAAGCTTGCCCGCGTTAAGCTACGCACAGCCTCGGTGCCGTCCTAATGGCAACTCGTCAGCGCCACAAGGTGCACTAGGCGCACGGCTTTACGGGAGGGATCGTCATCCCCGCTTAAAACTCTGCCTGAAAACACCCAATGATCGTAATTTCCCCGATCCACTGCACCGATTATGCCTACACATCCCGTAAAACCATGGACATTCCGGTGAACATCTTAAGTTACGATTAATATGCACAGCTAAGACTAGACGGAATTAACGATTTAAGCTGGCATTAAATGTGTAATAAAGCCTCCGCGGTCTATATATGAGGATAGTAGATGACGCATGTTGTTATGATATCTAAATCAGATCAGATTAATTATAGATTGGGTTAAAAATATTGATGCAATGCAATTTTCCACAACTTTTCACGACCGCACACGCCGTTGCACGCTCACTCAATCACTTCAACCGTGACGCACCTGCACACTTAAAACGATAAACACGCATGACGCAAGCACACCAACACACATAAAAGGGTCTATAAAATATCGGTACTCACCGGTGACGAGAACCTCATGGCCGTCATAACCGGCGGTGACGGCTCGTCACCGGACTCCTTGGTTCCGCCGAACGCGACCGACGAAGACCTTCACGCGCACGAGCGGAATCCGCTGCGACCGACGCCTTCCTCTCTCGTCGAACGCCGTCGATCACCTCGCTCACCTGCGATCTCCGACGATCTCGCGCGAACCGACTGCCCTCGTCTCTCATCTCATTATTGCGGTGGCAAATTGTCCCCCCAAGCCCCCCTTATTGGGCTGATTCACGCGTGTGAACGTGACGAAAAGTACGGAAGCAATAATTTACACAAGATATTGAAGCAAAAAGTAAGAACAGCACGACCGGTAAGCATCTCCAAGGGAGCGGAAATCACCGCCCACCTCATGTCCTTGGATCCCGCTTTAGCGCCACCCGGGCTCCGACCTGACCTCCCCATGGACAGACTACACTACGACAACAGGAGTGATACGGGATTGTTTACCCCGGGCAGCACAGACCTCCCGTTGCGCATAACGAACGCCGGCACTGGCCATGTGCCCGGAAGCGGCAAGTACACCCGGGAACCGAATATATGCACTGATGCCGGGGAGCGGAATTACGGCTGCCCCCCGAGTGTCGCCGCGAGAGGATCACTTCGGGCGTCCGGACCTCCGATGGGAAAGGTTTCCCGGCCGCGGTGCACCATTTTTATGTAGGGGTTTCACGCATCGGAACCTGCAACCTTTTATTGGTTCCCCCCATGTACAGACATTACGTTAATCAAAGTTACTCTACAATGCCCGCCTGCCACCCGGGTGTATTAAACTAAGCGGCCCGTATGATTGTTCGTTCACGTTCACCGTGTATCAGCCCGGCATCTGCCATTCCCCCAACGAAATATTTTGCTCACATTCCATATACGATATATTTTAGATCCGAGGGACATTCATGAATCATACGCTCACCTTCTTACGCTCACGCACTCTATTCGCATAACACTTCCAAACACACACTCATTTACGCTACGCGCCGACGAATATAATTTAGACGGGACTGTCCTGGATATAACGGGGGATGCCCACCGCTATTTGCGGCGGGTCGGAAAGCCAAATGAAATCCAGGACATTTGTCGGGGACTTCCGCAGCGCCTGGGCGCTGCGGCATTAATTTAGGGGGGATGGGAAAGTTCGCTTACCGGAAGATGTTGCCCCGACGACACCGCACTGGCAAATGCCACGAGAGACGGGCCCGCGAGTCCCAGGTGCCGGCCAGCCGCTGCCTTTCACCCGGCGGGCACGCCTTTCCCACCGGAGGCAAACATACGGCGGACTGGCCTAACGCGCACTCTGGTTCTCCGGCCCGCCGCTCCACACACTCTCTGACGCGCTCAATTTTGCCCTTACACAAGTCATGCATGCATCCTCCGCTGAGTCCCCCTTGGGGGATCCAGAGGCGGACCCAACACCGCCGGAACCATCACCCCTATCCTTTTTCGCCACACTGCTCTTGCGCTTAGCCATATTAGCTTCCTCAGAGGATGCAAGTGAGACAGATACCAATAGAAGAATTCAAGCAGCCAAGCAACAGATACAAAACACCATGCAACGTACACACACAAACACAAAAATAGCCGGGGTATAAATCAAAGCCCACAGGCCTGGTGCAGAGCAGCTCAGGTAGGACAAGTAGCTGGAGCGAACTCAGGCAAGAAGCAGGTGACGAATCAAGGACAGGATGGGTGCGGACTAGCAGTACTTCCAACCAGGTGGCGTGTGCTGTAGTAGCATGCAGAGATGCAGCGTGCAGGGCGTACACCAGGCAGGCAGCACACCAGACAGCAGCAGCCAATGCACCAGGCAGCAGCACCCGCTCGTCAGCAACGTCCGTCCGTCAATCCCCTTGTTTGTGTTCCCTGATTTTTTCGTTGCATTTTGCAGAAAACCTAAATCATTTTCTAGAAATTGAAATTGTTAGGTATTTTCAAGATCATGTTAAACTTTTTTGGAAATAGGAAGAATCGTAGGTACTCACGCAGTGGCTTACAAATAAGATATAATAATTATTTCAATTCACAAATTACCAGGTAAGATACCCCGCAATTACCCGGAATACGAGGTATGAGAATTACATACGAGGTATGACATCTTACAATTTTGTAAGATGTCATGAATCAAGAACCTGCGCGTTACAGACATTTACGGTGCAGTTTTTTGTTTAGTTTCACAACTAAATCCTGCTGACAGTAGCCTAGAAGCTGAGAATATACATGGAGTTCACCAGCAGCAATTACTGCATATTCTGTGATAGAACAAATGTTGTAATAAATTGTCTGCGAGGCCACTAAAAAGGCACACATATGACGAGCACTAATTCCAAGATTGATTGATATTTGGGATATTTGCAGGGATATATTTGATAAGTCGCTGTCTTTCAGGTATTTATTTATTCACTTGAGTAATCTTATTCAAGTTCATTTTTCATCATTGTAGTTAAAATTCATAGTAAGTGTTGTCCTTGTCTTGACTATCTGTAAGAATCTTGGTCTTGACAAAAAGTCATTCATCAACATGGCCTACGGTCACTGCATAGCATAGGGGCTGAGCTTTCATAAATTATTTTTGAAAATTGATATAGGTATTGCTGATGACTACGAAACCGCTTTTTCTGCTGAACAGTTTTTTATATGCCTGAGTTAAACTGGTCAGCTTAAATTGTTAACATAAAGTTTAAACTGTCAGCTTAAACTGTTGATTTGCTTCCAGACCTCCCCAGTGCTCCAGTCACTGTCAAATGTCAGCTCCAGCATCCGAAGGTAGGGGCGATGTGCCCCGCCAGTATGGCTCAATGGCTGAGTACTGCACTGATCTACGGCTCTGGATGGCACGTGTGCAGCAAACACGCTGCATGGAGGCCATGTTTCCCATTTGGTTGTCTCAGCAGCTGGCTGCCGGATCACTGCCACAGCAGCAGCAGCAGCAGCAGGTGAGGTTGAAGAGCTGTGGGTGTTGGCTTAAGACATAATGGGTGCATCAATAATTTTAAGCCTTAAACACATTTAGTTGTTTTACCCTCCTTGCACTGCTGGTCCTTGCATTATTCCAACCTGTTACTTTTGCCATAATCTGGATGGCTAGTGCACAGCAAAACAGCTCCAATACCTGCATAGCTATGCACTCATTGCTAATTGTTCTCAGAAAATGAGCCTATGGCACAGCATCCCTGATAACAGAGTGTCAACCCCTCATCTGTCTCGCAGCCAGGAGTGAGGTTTGGCTTTGCCAACCAGGCTGCTGCACCTCCACCTCAGGAGCAGCAGCAGCAGCCCCAGAGAGGTGAGGATGGCTCTGCCTAGGTGCTTACTGCTGACCCTCTCATAGTGTGGACCAGAGGCCAGTCACATTTGACATACCTACTCAAGATTTATCCATGCTTCTTTGACTGAAAACATGCATAGGTACCTGCATTTCGCTTCAATGTTTGGCGCAAATACCGTCGTAGTTGCGCTACCGCAAATGCAATATCAAATTATTACAACAGCGATCGTCACTGATAACTACGCCCTGACAGGTATCGAGTTTCGTATTCCGCCACTGTGGAAGCGTCTTGTGGCTGAAACGGTCGACTTCTTCATCCTGATGATTATCAAGTTCCTGCTTGCGTACATCGCCATCGACCAGTTCGGCCTCATGTGAGTACCTTGTCGTAGTTATTGGAGCGTGTCGCGGTTGTAACGATTGAGACAGTCAGGCTGAGTAGCTACAGCTGGAAGGCTGCGTGTGTGTGCCACATCAGCGCGGTATGTCGCAGAGACATCGAGTTTTGTTGTCGCTTGTTTCTGCATACTCTGTATCGAGTACCGAAGACTGATCGCTCGGCGACTGGCCTGACACCTACCGCCGAACAGTTCAACTAATCGCCACTCCGGCGGCCCCAAAGTGTCGTTCACTGTGCTTGCACTGAGCTGCGGTACACTGTGCAGGTCCAGCCCAGCTGAGGCGCCCATTTGAGTCACGATGCATTTACCTGGTTCGCGTCATCACATGTCAGTCGTCTTGTAGATGGTTGTGTGGTCATTGTAATTTGTATCATCTACAGAGCATGCATAATCCTGTTTTATGTGATCATAAGGTGAATCTTTTAACCAAAAATGCAAAACACAGAAAACCCAGTCCGCGCAAACCCTCAAAACTAAGCCTCGCAAATGAGCGGTAGAGGGACCTTTGCTCGGCCGGGTGGTCCGTCCCTCCAGCTAGGCTCTGCGGCAGTCCTGAATGGCGTCACCCAAAAGAGCAAATCAAATCAAATGTTGGTGCTTTGAGCAATATAGGGTGCGTCAAAAGTTTGATAACTTACGAATCGTCCCTTCCTTTCAGTAAAAAATAATGTAACAGATTCATTGCACCGGTCAATACATTTTCCATGAAGCTGGGCACAGCGTAAAACACCAGCAAGTATTCTAGGCACAAAGTTCTGGAGATGCTAAGGGCTGATGTTTGCTCACGTCCTTTTGACCGCCTTTTCGAGCTGCTCTGGGTCGCTGGGAGGTTTTGTCTGGTCAAGTTCCTGCTGCACAATTCCCTAGAGCAATGCGTTTGGACTTGGCTCAGGGTTGTTCCCTAGCCTTGTATCATTCGCCCAGATATTGGAAAGATGCTCCTGGCACCACCTCTTAGATCAGACAGACCAATGAGAAGGAGCAGTCTTCCATGAAAACGCTGTCCGACGTGTGTGGCACCATGCGCCGCTGAAGAGCGGAGCCCATGGTGACCGTCCTGTTGATGACAGGCATACAGACTTTCTTCAGGATATTCTCTACATATATACACGTGTGTTTGTAGTTGTGAGCATCGATCACCATTTTCAGCGGAGTCGCGTTCAGCCGTTCAGTGATGTATACATTATCTGTCATTTTATACCAGAAAGGAAAAGCTTACGATCCATTGATTGATTGATCCTAAATGATATTAGGCATTTCGTGGTAAATGGTTCGATCGCTTTTCGTTAGCTAATTACTTGCTTTCTATTTTGTAAGGAAGCAAGGGTGATAGTGAATGTCAAGATGTACCAACTTCCGGTGTTGTAAATATATTTGCCATCAGTTAACAACCAAACATCATTACGCCCATCTCAGTTAATCGATCGCCATCGGGCGCCGGCCGTATCTGGGAGCGCGCTGGTGCGCGGTGTCGGTCAGTGACAAATCACGTGAGCGTCTGTCGTTTCCGGAGGCGCCGCCCGAGTTGAGGCCGTCGCTGTTCATCATCTGCTGAGGCTGCGCCGTCCGAGGGCCTGTAAATCGGCCGAGATTGGCTCGGCAGCGGTCTGTTGTCTCGCCTGTAGCGCTGCAGTTTCCGGCCAACTCTGCCGTCGGCGTCCGCCGCCCGTGACGCCGTCCGCCGGGCCCGTTATTAGCCGCCATACAGACGTCACGGACCATGGCGGTCTCTACTGCAAGGCATATCTTAAATGTGCCAGCCGGCATTATTGTCGGCGACACAGTGTGGTAATTATAGCGCATGATGTATTGGACACAGGCCCGACGGTTTGAATAAGGCGCCTTGGCCTTATTCGTCCGTCATGCCGTGTCGCCAAGTCATGTCGTACTCTAATATGATACTAAACTTGACGAATGCTCGTGTAGAGGCTGGTTTTTAACCTGCCCATGAAATGATTTCGGTAAACATTACACGCTGTATTTGTCCTCACTCCTCATCAATACGTCTTGGTATAAGGTACGATTGCCAGTATTTCTTTTCGACGGAATTTCCTCTGCCTATCCCGGCCAAATGAGTTTCGGCGTCCATGTATATTACATTCCTGTCTGGGTCCAGGAAATTAAATAGTGTGATTAAGCTGCCGTCTCCGAAAATACCACTGGCTGCTAATATCCAGCTACTTCACTTGCAAAGGAAATAGACATGGGGCTGACCCGAATTATTAGCCTGATGAATCAGGGAGTGAGAAATCTAATGTTTAGGCATGATATTTCATAATGTAGGTAAAATACTAGAGATGTTTGCATTGTCGCGAAACTTAGGTGTGTTTGCAGTTTTCTGGTGTGAATGATAATGCACCATATCAGCGATATCTCCTGACTCCTGGATCACGCTGGTTCGCGCCGCTGCCCGGGCGATAGCTGGTAGTTTGTTGTGATGACTAAGTTTATGTCTCCCTACCACATGGCAACACCACCCCGTCGCCGAGGTCGTGACTCTAGCCACTGGTACCGCGCCGGCATGGTAACGCTACCCTGCCGCATGGACGCTTATTTGGGCTTTCAATTTGTGCCGGCCGAATATTTCACTTGGCGGGGCGGCTTTTCATCAGGGCGGCGTGATTTATGTCGCGGGGCCTGTGCGCGTAATGTCCCCCGCGGGACAGCCCCCGACAATATCGGCCGGCCGGCGCAGATGGGCGGACCAAACCAACAACACTGGGGCCATCAACATCAGACCAGCTGGACGGACCGAACCTCAACCAACAACACCAGACTCAGATCTGGAACAACAGCACCAGACCAGCTGAACGGACCGAACCTCAACCAACAACACTACACTGCATAGACGTACCGAACCAATACCAGAGCTGGAGCGAACCAGCAACACTACATTTAGTTCGAACGAGCCAACAACACCAGAGCTGGAACAACACCAGACCAGCTGGACGAACCGATCTAACAACACCATAGCTGAGCCAACAACACCAGAGCTGAACCAACAACACCAGACCAGCTGGACGAACCGATCTAACAACACCATAGCTGAGCCAACAACACCAGAGCTGAACCAACAACACCAGACCAGCTGGACGAACCGATCTAACAACACCATAGCTGAGCCAACGACACCAGAGCTAAACCAACAACACCAGACCAGTTGGACGAACCGATCTAACAACACCATAGCTGAGCCAACAACACCAGAGCTGAACCAACAACACCAGACCAGCTGGACGAACCGATCTAACAACACCATAGCTGAGCCAACAACACCAGAGCTGAACCAACAACACCAGACCAGCTGGACGAACCGATCTAACAACACCATAGCTGAGCCAACGACACCAGAGCTAAACCAACAACACCAGACCAGTTGGACGAACCGATCTAACAACACCATAGCTGAGCCAACAACACCAGAGCTGAACCAACAACACCAGACCAGCTGGACGAACCGATCTAACAACACCATAGCTGAGCCAACGACACCAGAGCTGAACCAACAACACCAGACCAGTTGGACGAACCGATCTAACAACACCATAGCTGAGCCAACGACACCAGAGCTGAACCAACAACACCAGACCAGTTGGACGAACCGATCTAACAACACCATAGCTGAGCCAACGACACCAGAGCTGAACCAACAACACCAGACCAGCTGGACGAGCCGAGCTAACAACACCAGACTGCCTAGACGTGCCGAACCAACACCAGTGCTGGACGGACCGAACCAACGACACCAGAGCTGAACTAACAACGCCAGTTCTGGACCAACCAAACCAGCAGCACCACCAACCAGCTTGTGGTTGCTGGACTTACCAACACCACTACAGCGTGGAACTCCCTGTCTCCCCGGCACAGCCGTTCACAGAAGTGGTCTCAAAATTTCCAGTTTCCACATATGAGACGGATGGGTGTTGCCAAACAAAGAATGGCAACAATCTAGGAACATTTTTGTTAACATTCTCCACAAAAGTCTGTCCGTCGAGCTAATTAAGGGCTACGAGGGATTATGATTGCTTGTTATAATGTGTTGCACATTTACTATAAAAGCAATAAGGCGTTGCTATGCCATGACCATGCCATGATCCAAAGCATCAACAAGCCTTTACTTTTCCGCCATATAATGAAATAAAGTGCTAATGGGAGCATCTGTCTTATTCCTGGTACATGTTGTGTGACATTTGCAAATGTTTGATTACGGAGCGAGCGAAGCGAGCGGAGTCTTTCCTTAGATTAACGGAAATTTCTGAGTATGAGCGGCCGGCCGGCCGTGCGGACGCTTTTGCGAGGCTTATGTTGGGGAGCGGCGGCCGTTCGTATCGGCCGCCGGCAGCATGCGCCGGCGCTGCAACCTGCAGTCCCGGCCGGCTGGTGACGTAGGTGACGTGGCGGCCGCTGATTGGTCGGCGGGCGCCCAGCCCCCCTATATAATGCGGTGCATCGCCGGCGGCGGGCAGTCGCTGAGCGGGTGCAAGATACCTATAATAAACAGGTAGATCCGATGTTTTGAGTAAAGCCCTGGTGACGTCACTGATATTTCTTATATGGAGAATTTCACCCGTAAGGAAAATATTTTACATACAAAAATTTGTATGCTAGTAGTAAAAAAATACAATCTTTCAATCTCACCATGAAAATTATATAATTTAATTAATAAACTCGAAATCCTTTGAGTGTTTGTCCCAACCCCCTGTTATACCTTTGGTCACGTGACTACCATGATACACTTTGCATTTTACAAGGTTATGACTTAAACGGAAGTAATAAATGCTGCAAATGTATTATTTATGATGTTTTAGGCAGCAATCGTGTGAATATATCCTGAAATTATCAATAATCTGCTGAAAAGAAGTCACGTGATGTTACCAGATTGTGCTCGGACAGCATCTTCTTGAATTTCGATTTTGAGTACTTTGTACCTTCATTGAGGCCTAATAATGGACGTTTTTAGTTATAAAATGAAGCACTGAATCTAATGAGAGCAAAATTTAATCATTTTTGCACTTTCAGGCCGGGCTATCCTGGCATGAACTTCGGCAAGTTTGTGTGTAAAGCCTATGGTGAAGGGAAAACTTCACGCCCGGCTGACGTCACAGACCTCGGCTACCAAATCGTGTCCGGTGGGGGCTGAGCGGGTGGCTCGGCGGGTGGAGCTCGGGGCTGAGCGGTTGGCTCGCCAAGGGGAGCTCAGGGATGAGCTGGCGGACAGTCGGTCCGGCCTGATGGGCAGTCTGGATAGGACCGTGTAATGAGCCGATGTGCACAGATCAATACATTAGATAGCTGAGCCGCGGTGTTTACCCGAGAATGCGTGTTCCGAACAACTGGCGCGGTCGGTAGGACGGTTCGGACACTAGCGGACACGCATTCGTTGGGTTGCACCATTTAAAGTAAATTTTTATTTTTATTTCATTTTGAATCGGCTCAGTAGAGTAACGTAACATGGAGAGAGAACTTTTATTTTTAGCTAACTTTGAAAATTTCACGGGGGTAAATAATCAATCATGGGGTCGGTGGTACCGGCGGTTCCGGGCGAAGACGGTCACGTTCTCGGAGGAGAGTCGGCAGCGGGGCCTGGTCAGCCTGCTTCAAGATGGCGCCCTGGACTATTTCGCCTCGCTGTCGGAGGAGGTCCAGAGCAACCTCAAGCAAACTGTGGCCGCACTGGAGGCCCGTTTCGGCACAGCGAAGAAGGCGATACAGGCGCACGCTGAGCTGGCAAACATCCGGCAGCAGCCCGGTGAGGCAACGCGCGACTTCGCCGACAGGGTGCGTCAGGTAGGCCAGGAGGCGTACCCAGGAGCGAAAGCCGGCGACCCGTCCGTGGAAGCGACCGTCGTCAGCCGCTTCATATGCGGCCTCCGTGAGGAGCAGCTGCGAGTGCGAGTGCTGACGAAGGACCCGGCCAGCCTCATCGAAGCCGTGAAGGTCGCCGATAAATTCGAAAGGCAGCAGGACGCACTCCGAGCAATGCGCCCGCCCAGCGAGGGCGAGGCGTTGGCAGTGCAAGACCGAGGCGCGCCCGGCACTGCGCGGCTGGACGCGCTGGAGAGGCTAATTGTAGAGCTGCAGCGCGCTCTGCAAACCCTTGAGACGGCGGGAAGGCGGGACGCCTACCGCACGGGGCACGGGACAGGGGCGAGGAACCCCCAACGAGGGCCACCAAACCCGAACAGGCGGGGTAGCGGGCGCCGCTGTTTCTTTTGCAACAGCCCCGACCACTTGGTCCGCAAATGTCCGGCGCGGCACACACACGCAAACGAGCAGGTGGGGCGGTTCGTCACACCCGGTTATCAGCAGGCGGGCCTGGAGTGGGCGGAGCGCCCCCGTGGTCCGTCTGAGGAGTCCGGCGGATGGACGCCTATCTGTCACCAGTGCGGCCGTGGGGGCCAGCGATGGGCGGGACGCCCGCCTGCCCCGGCGACTGCGGCCGTAGGCACGTCCGATATCCCGTCGATGGAGGGCCCAACGGTACACATGGGGCACCGGCGGCGGGGAGGCACACAGGCAGCGGGGTGCGACCGTGAGTGGCAGCGGAGGGTGGCTGACCCACCTGCCCCCAACGGGACCCCTACGGCAGGGCAGCCCACACAATCGAGGGATTGTAGTGCGACAGGACAGGGGCAAGGGTGCCCTCCTACACCGTCGATCGTGTGTACGGTAAGGTCAGAGCCGGCGGGCAGCGAGGCTCCATCCACTTGCCGTCCCCCGGTCGATGAGCTCGGGCATCGCGAGCGGTCAGGGACCGCGAACTCCGGTTTGGTGAGGCGCTGCTCACAGGTTTGCGCGCGGGCAGCGGCCCTCGTGACTTGTACCGCTCGGGCCGTCTTCAAGTCAGCAGGGTTGGACAAGTGGCGACACTGGCCAGCCCCAGTGACCCCATGCGGGGACCAGGTCGAGCGCGACGGGTCCGGGACGAGCCAATGCGAGGGAGGGTCGCCCAGCATTGACATCGCAGGCCAACCTAACCGGCAGACCGCCCAGGCCAGCGGCGAGGTCGACTCGGCTGGCGATGTGGCGGGTGAAGAAGCACGCGCCACCAGCCGTCCAGGTGTCGACGGCGACGCAGGGGACGCTAGTCCGGTGGAGTGGAGCGGCACGCAGGAGGCGCAAGAAGAGAGCCCACCGCGCAATCACGCCAGACAGCGCCTCAGCCACCAGACGCCTTGCAACACCTCGATGCCGGAAGAGTGGGGCAGGGCCCTGGACTTTGGAGGTAAGAGTGATCGAGCGGGGAGGCGGAAAAGGCCCACCCCACCTCCAAGGGCCCCGGTGCAGACCGAGCCGGCCACACACCCCTTCGAGCGCGTAGCCGGTAACGAGCGCGACTTCCGAGCGGCAGCTGGAGGGCAGCCAAAGTTCGGCCTGCGGCACAAGGGCCCGTGGGGCCACGGAAGAAGAGAAGGAAGAGGAGCCACCTACCGAGTGCGGGACGGCGTCGGTAAAACCAAGATGTGGCACCACGACCACCTGACGCCGTATGATGGACAGACGTGCGGTTTGCCGCGAGAGGTGGCCGCCGCGTGGTGCGCGCGGCATCACCCAGATCGCGGCGCGAGGCCTGAGTCGCCTCCTACCGCCCTCGGCCCGTCCGCGCCGTACCGAATGCGGCGCGGCTGCCCCTGTACAGTGTCAGGCGGGGGTCCCTGAACTGCGCGAATCGCGGGCGCGGTAAAGTATCGTGCACTGTGTCGTTGCGAAGTGTTGTACATACTTGTAAAATGTGAGCGGTCGTACACCTCTCTTGTGTAGGGGGGGTGTGTGTTGGGGAGCGGCGGCCGTTCGTATCGGCCGCCGGCAGCATGCGCCGGCGCTGCAACCTGCAGTCCCGGCCGGCTGGTGACGTAGGTGACGTGGCGGCCGCTGATTGGTCGGCGGGCGCCCAGCCCCCCTATATAATGCGGTGCATCGCCGGCGGCGGGCAGTCGCTGAGCGGGTGGCTCGGCGGGTGGAGCTCGGGGCTGAGCGGTTGGCTCGCCAAGGGGAGCTCAGGGATGAGCTGGCGGACAGTCGGTCCGGCCTGATGGGCAGTCTGGATAGGACCGTGTAATGAGCCGATGTGCACAGATCAATACATTAGATAGCTGAGCCGCGGTGTTTACCCGAGAATGCGTGTTCCGAACACTTATATCTCAGCAACCACTTGACCGATTTACATGCGGTAATTTTTGTAGGGTAGCTTCATTCCTTCTACCAAGTATTGGACTATTTCCGATGCATGTGGGTGACCCCTTATGCACGTGCCACGTGCAAAACGAAGAGGTGTCAGTTTTGTAATTATTGCAATATCTCGGTAACTACTTGGCCGATTGCGCTGAAGTTGGCATGTAGGTAGGCACCCACTAGGCACTGCATATCCATGTGCCAGAGTTGGGGTGCTCGTCATTGTACTTCAAATGTAGCTGCTAATTGGCCCTTGGATGTATGGACAATGCGCATTGTGCATGGTTTGATCAATGAATCCGGCCGTTGATGACGCGTGATCGTTCACTGACGCTGACCTGATCCGAAGTGACCGGTCCGTTTCAGCGAACGACCTGACCTGGTGACCTGACTAAGTGACCTGACCAAGTGATCTGACCCGGTCACCTTTCTATTTCATTGACCTGACCAAATGACCTGACCTGGTGACCGTTCGGTTTCAGTGACCTGACCAAGTGACCTAACCTGGTGACCGTTCGGTTTCAGTGACCTGACCAATTGACGCTGACCTGGTGACCGTTCGGTTTCAGTGACCTGACTAATTGACGCTGACCTGGTGACGGTTCGGTTTCAGTGACCTGACTAATTGACGCTGACCTGGTGACCGTTCGGTTTCAGTGACCTGACTAATTGACGCTGACCTGGTGACGGTTCGGTTTCAGTGACCTGGCCAAGTGACGCTGACCTGGTGACGGTTCGGTTTCAGTGACCTGACCAAGTACGACGTGGACACGCTGGTGAAGGTGGCCAGCGGAGGTCAGGCCGACATGAGCTACACACTGGCCATGGAGATGACCTCCGAGCTGCTCATGCTGGAGATGGTCAACCGCGTCTCCGTCTGCTGGTTCGAGGTGGGTCCCTGTCCGATGGATCGATGTTGTTGGTGTCTCGTCTCCTTCCATGGGTCACGATTGGCGCGGGTGATTGAATATGGCTGAGCCCGCTCTATGGAGACCCACAAGCATGAGCACGACGTGCCGAGACCGTAATAGAGCGCTACTTATTGGATAAAACAATATGCATTCACACTTTCAGAAATTTAAACGTTTTCGTTAAACACAGAATCAGGCATTACTCATATCGTGTATTAGTGATGCTACACTAATGTATCGTTTGATAAGCGTGCGACTTTTACGTCGGACCAGCTCGCTCTAGGATCGGGCGCAAAAGGGGCCGTGTTAGTGGCTCCGGAAATGAGAGCGGTGATGTGCGGGCCGTTTGCAGCCGATATCTGCGCCGTACAGGTGGGATGTGTGCCATAGGTCACATCTACCGCCCCCGGGTCGTTCAGCGCGGCCCCGGGTAGCCGGAATGGCCGTATCGGCACCCACTGGTCATCTCCACACGTTTGGCTGTCAAGTCTAATGACGAAATATGACGCCCTGCTCGGGAAAATGTTGTATCGCCTAATCAGAATAGGACGCGTTGAAACACTTGATAAAAACGGCCAGCGTTAAACATCGTTTTTTGAAGCGTGCTTTTTGTTAGTGCTAATTATCGTGAATAAGAGAATGTTGCGCTCACACATAATCTTGATTGCGTCCCAAAAGCGTTTCGTTGGGTCTCTAACAGTATGAGCAACGATGCATTCTAGGCTGTTAATTTGGTAAGGAATGATCAATGATGCATCGTAGACTGTTGATTTGGTAGAGCGAAACTGAGAGCTTATTCCATTGGTTTCCAATAGAATACTGGCGTTAAGCTGCTCATGTTGGTTGTGTAAACAGATCTAATCAACCAATTGGTGTGTTGCTTTGGTGTGACGTCATCGGCATCCTATATCTGACGGAAAATTAGCGATGCCGTCCATGAAGCCCCAGACCTCAATATGATAGATTGTGCACAGCTAGATTGATGTCGAATAATTTAATCAGGTTTTAGTGCATTATTCAAAATAGTCTTAGACATCTCTTCAAAGAAGTTACCATCGTCTATCCTTTTATGTTAAACATTGGGCTGGAGAAGTCAGTAATTAGCTTATTACAAACGGTACAATGCACAATGCACATAACTGTATATAAACGGTTCGCTGAACGGAGAATCAAACCACTGGTGCTTTCATCTGCAGTGTACCGTTAATGTCAGATATGCAGCTAAGGGCGGTCGGGAGAGTCAGGGCGGGTCTGAGCCCTGGGGCCTGGGGAGCAGGGTTGTGCTTGACTCATGAGTCGAGTCAGAAATTTGACTCAACTCTGACTCAAATGAGTCAGATTTGAGTCGAGTCGGATAAAATGTTGAGCTGTTGAGTTGAGTCAGAGTTGAGTCGGACAAAAAAATTAAGGTGTTGAGTTGAGTCAGAGTTGAGTCAGTAAAATAACTTTTGACATTGAGTTGAGTCAAAAACATTTAGGAACATGAGTCAGCTGACTCAACTTTCTAGAAACAATATATAGTATAAGTTTTTCATTTTTCCCCCGCTTAACAACTTAGGCCTGGCCCTGCTGCCGGATTTTTTCACCCCCCCCCCGCTCAACAACTTTTTTATCTGAGTCAATTTTGAGTCAACACACTTGACTCAGCAAAAAAATTGAGTCAAGTTTGAGTCAACTCATATTTTCATTGAGCCGCTTGAGTCATGAGTCGAGTCAAGGGAAAAAATCAGCTCCTTGTTTGAGTCAGAGTTGAGTCAGGGCATTCTGAAGTTGAATGATGAGTCGAGTCGGCAATTTTTTTTGAGTCGAGCACAACCCTGCTGGGGAGATGGGTCTGTGCAGCAGTCAGATTAGTTAGGTCCATGCAGTGTGCATCTGAGGGCGGGTTTAGGACTGGAGAGTCGGGTCTGAGCAGCTAATAGCGGTCGGGAGAGTCAGGACGGGTCTGGAGTCTGTGGAGTTAGCTCTGTCCAGAGGGCGGGTCTGGGAGAGCTTGGGAATCGGCTCTGTGCTGCTGAGGGCGGCTCTGGTGAGCCCGCTCGGCCGTGTCGGGCGGAGGGCGGCGGCCCGTTCCGTCTCGCTGCGGCTGTTTGCCTCCGGCCGCGGCTGCCGCCGTGTTGTTGCCGCCGATTCGCGCGGTCGCACCCGAGCCGCGGCTCGATCGGTGTTCAGAGTGCTGTCAAAACAAGTGATTGCCGGTGGGGCATCGGAGGGTCGCGGGCCGGCGGGCGGGGCGCGCGCCCGGCCGGCCTGCCCTGGGGGCCGCTGATAAGACAGGCCGCGCGCCGCTGGGAGACGGACGGCGCCGAGCGACCCCCCCCCCCCCCGTCCCCCGTCCCCTCCCCTCGGCGTGCCGGGGGCACACACTCGGCGCACAGTTTGCGCACTGCGTCACTGCAGCTGAACGACTCCAAACCGCTGGTCCGCCACACTGCGTGCTAACGGCAGCGCTGCGGGTCGGCCATTTTTGTCGCAGCTTCCGTCTGACAAGGATCAGAGGACTGAATTGTCCGCTCGGCGTGCCTCGAGTGGCGCGCGTCTGGATACTGTCGAGCGCTCTTCACTGATTGCTTGGCGGGTGCATTGTTTCGAGCTGCTCCCAGAGGATGAAAGTCCCATCCGTTCGGGGGTCTGGTGCGCTGTGTCTACCCGGAGCTGGTGGGCGCCCGCAGCGACTCTGGGCCGGTTCAGCCTCCCTCCCAGCCGGGCTGGGATCCTCCGTGTTTCGCCCTACTCTGTCAATATCCCACCCCGTTCCGTCTGTGTCCACTTCGGTCCTCCGTGTCCCGGCGTTCCGATCTGATCTGCGCCGTGCCAGTCACGGCACGGTGGGCGCGCCGCCAGCTGTGCCAGCCGCGGTGGCACGGAGTCGGCAGCTGCCATTGAGGCTACCGTCTGTGCTCTTCCTCCGTGTGACTGCCGCCGGCCCCATTGCCGCTGTGTCTGCCGGTGCTGTGTCACTGATTGTTGTTATTGTGACCGAGGCGTGTTAAATCGATAGCTTTTATCGGCGCTGAACTGTCTCCAGCAATGCTGCTAGTCATAAGTCATCCGCTAGTCTGCTGTTTGGTGTCTGGTGTGGATCGAACGAAATTATGGAGCGATAGATGATCTCTGGAGCCGTTGGAACTTTGATAAGAATCGCTCCCAATTCGCGGTCGCTGATTGGATGCTGAGATTTTCCGCCAGCACTGTGGGGAACAGACGAGAAGTCGGCGGCTCTTCATCAACCAAAGAGCGGCTGGCCTGTGTCAGCGACAGGCCGCCTTTCAGAGGCACAAATTACGGACTGCACAGCACTCAGTCTAATTTGGAATGGTTGTTGCCAAGCATGCATAATCCAACAATTGTACAGCTGGCTACAGAATGATGTTCCCCTTTTCACAGGCAATTAATGCCTAGAGTGGTAGGTTGTGCCGCATCACACGAACTGAGTTTACAGTTAATGATGTGACCCAACGCTCACAATAGGCACGCTTAATTGCGTGATAAACGGCACAACTCAGCGTTCCAGTCAATTGGTAGGTTAATCTGAGGATTGGAACATCATTATGTAGTTAACTGTACAGTTTTCCTGCTGGCTAGACTTATTCAATATTTCTAATGTATTCATTTTTAAATCATGGATCTCATGACTGGGGCGTTCCACGACAAATCGACAAATAAAAAATTAAATTTGCACCCACATATTTTATATTTCGTTGAAAACTGGTGTAAGGGGTTGTGATGGGCGGGGAAGCCAGCTGCGGCAAGGATTTTTTTCTTCGAACAACGGTTTCCGAGATATAGCCTCGGGCAATTCCTGGAGGTCACGCTGCAACCCTATGTTTGGCGGCTTATAACTCAGAAACTATTGGTTTTCTATGATAACAACTTTATATGGTTCAACTCACAATCAACCAACAAATATTTTGGCTATCTCGGATTTTCAATTTTTGAAAATTTTGATCACGTGACCTTTTGACCTATTTTTCAAAGAGTGACCTTGATATTTTCCCCACTGAAAGTTAAAATTTTGTCTGATGACGATTAAAGCCTTAGCGATTGTCATTCATATGCGATAATAAAAAAGTGGTTATCGCCCTGTGTTGACCTCAGGTCAGGTCATTTTTATGACTTGTTCATTATTACGAGCGAGAACGACAACGAGATCTCGAGAACAAAGCAAGACAGCGACAAGCGGTAAACGGTACAGGGTACACATGGATAAGGTCTACAATTTTTACTGAGGTCATTTTCAGGTCAGGTCAAAGATGACGCCACAGGGGCAAAAAGGAAGTCAAAATAGCGGCACTACATATATATGAAGTTTTTCTCGAATAACTTTCAAGGTATCTCAGCTAGGAACAAACTAATAGCACCATCGTGATCCTCTCGTCGATCCGCATCGAAACATATGTATGTTGACCTCGAAAGGTCAAGTTCAAAAGTTGACCTTAGGTCACGTGACCTAAGGTCATCATATATCATTCGATGCGCCTTGACGAGCTGAGCGCAATGAGTCCATCCGCGCATCTGTATCTCAAACCTGTAAGGAGTTATTAGCAAAAACCTTTGGTGACCTTTAATGACGTCACATGACCTTACAGTTGCCCAAGAGCAAAAAAGGGTCTCAAGGCAGGCAAAGTTGATCCTATATGAAGTCACTCATGGTATATTAGGCGATTTCGACGTGTTTTAGTTTCAAAGTAAGCGAGCCGATTTTTCCCCAATTGACTTTTAATGAGATGGTCAAGAAATTGACCTGGCCTTAGGTCATTGATATCGAAATTCAAAGCGAACTGGTGCTAGGCCAAAGCAAACACAATGTTGCCTGTTCCACGTCTCTTTCTTTATTAGATCAAAAGGTACAGCCAAACCTATTTTGACTTTCTTTTTACCCCTGTGACGTCATCTTTGACCTGACCTGAAAATGACCTCAGTAAAAATTGTAGACCGTATCCGTGTGTACCCTGTACCGTTTACCGCTTGTCGCTATCTTGCTTTGTTCTTGAGATCTCGTTGTCGCTCCCGCTCGTAATAATGGACAGGTCATAAAAATGACCTGACCTGAGGTCAACGCAGGGCGATAACCACTTTTTATTATCGCATATGAATGACAATTGATAAGGCTTTAATCGTCATCAGACAAAATTTTAACTTTCAGTGGGGAAAATATCAAAGTCACTCTTTGAAAAAAGGTCAAAAGGTCACGTGATCAAAATTTTCAGAAATTGAAAATTCGAGATAGCCAAAATGTTTGTTGGTTGATTGTGAGTTGAACCACATAAAGTTTTTATCGTAGAAAACCAATAGTTTCTGAGATATAGGCCGCCAAACATAGGGCTGCAGCGCGACCTCCAGGAACTGCCCGAGGCTATATCTCGGAAACCGTTGTTCGAAGAAAAAATCCTTGCCACAGCTGGCTTCCCCGCCCATCACAACCCGTTACACCAGTTTTAAGCAAAAAATAAAATATGAGGGTGCAGGGCACTTGTCGATTTGTCGTGGAACATTTGTTCAAACATTTGTTGAAAATTTGTTGTGGACTGTCGTATCTGTTCAGATACCTGGAGAGCTATATAAAATAGAAATACCTACCTGCTATCTTGTTAGCTTATTGCACACACCTTACGCAACTTGCTATTAGATTTAGCTTTAGTAGTATCAAAGGCACCTTATTGAAAGCAGCTTTCCGTGGATGCTGTTCTATCGTTATTGCCGTTTCTTTGAACGGTGTCTTGTAGCAGTTGCCGCTGGGAGCTTCATATTCAGATAGTGGATGATATTCGTGCCGATCTATTGGAGTTTGGTATTGTGATAGCTAGCAGAATTGCGAAAATTTGAGTACCTACATATGTCAAATAGGTAAAGTTCACCGGATCTGCTTTTCATGAGCTGTGGATGTTGGATAACCTCAGTACCCCCAAATATTTTCGCGATCAGCATTGGTATTTGGTGTCATAGCAAGCGTTAAAACACTTATCGAGGCTGCCGAAAAGCCTAGAAACCGGCACTGAAAGAAAGTTATGTCGGTTTATCATTTGTTACAAGAGCAAGTCTAGAGGAGAGTTGCATGTTGTGACCAAGTGCAGCACAGGTGAGGTAAACCATCTCGCGACTGTTTCAGCGGAGCTGAAGCGCCTAGGGCTAGGTACCACAGAACGTTATAAGAACGGGTGTGATGAATGAAAAACAAGTGACTGCCTACTCCTTTAATGGAAGGTTATATTTCTTACAGCTTCTTTTCCGTTTAAAGAACTGCGAGTTCTTTAGAAGTCGGCACCTTTTGACTTCAACTTGAAAGTCGGCACCTTTGACATCAACACGTTGAGTGTGGAAAGTTTCGCCAACTTTGACCTTGACAACTCCACTAATGAAGAAAGTACGTGAGACCACGAACAAATTAATTGCGTTGCACTCAGTGATCCATCGATCATACATAGAGCCCTTCTTGTTTTGACCAAATAAAGTATATGGTTTCAATGCATGTTCTTTTCAGCCACACGTACCTTAGGTATGTGACCCGATTCCTGTTTTATTTTAATCCGATGACACTTGTCCTCCTTTTGACCATATCAATTTGCTGTTATGCGGTATCTGTCAAAGATAATGGCCGTGGAATCTGTTGATGGATCGTAATTTCGACACTGTGAACTGATGAGCGGCTTTACGATGCATTGACTGTCGAGGATGAGCGATAGCGCTGAGAACCATGGGATCCCAGTGGACGGCCGAAGCGCGTCGAATATCGGTGCTGAGCCCCCTCTTACCCGTCCGCGGTCCGTTCTCACCGTCCGCGGTCCGTACGCAGCCGACACCAGTCTGGAGCTCCAGAGGTGCAGCTAGCCAAGTCTACCCACCCCGTGAGAGTCAGGCGGGTCTGTGCAGTGGCCACAGAGCCATCATCAGACCCATCACAGTCCCATCACAGTCCCCGTGTCTGGACGGTGGACGTGTCTGCGGCCCGCCCGCTGGACCATTATTATACATTACTGGGCGCCATTGGGCGCGGCCACAATCTGTCATGGGCGGCTCAGCTAGTTAGCACAGATAGCGGTGACAGGCGGCGCTCGATCACACCCAGTAATGCGCCGCTCCTCCCTTCCTCCCGCCCGCCTGTCTGCCTGCAAGCAGTGATGAACGCGACAGTAGCGGTCTGGGCTGGGCAGACTGTCGGCGGGGCGCTGCAGTGTTCTGTGGACGTGAGGCGCTAACGCCCCATAAATCGCCACGTGCGTGAGGCGCCGAAACTCTGCAGTCTCCCATGAGCAGCGGAGGCATTTTCATCGAATTTGGAAGTGAAGTTTTTGTGGCGTATCACCATGCCCTGGAGGAGACCGTTAACGTCTTTCAATGATCAAGTGGTCTTCATGTTCACTGAAAAGGCAGCTATTTTCTATAGAAATCGTGTCGACCACACAGCAACTGTCACCTCTGCATCGACTTCTGTGTCTGCCCGGCCGGGGCGGCACTATCGCAAACAAGTCCCAATCAGTGTCAGCACCTCGTGCCGCCGGCGGCCTCTCTGTTCGCCGCCAGATGAGCCGACTTCCGTAATCTCGGCGGCGACAGATCTCATAACGAAGTGGCGCCGTCGCCGCCGCCGGCGTGGCGACGGTTCAGCGATGGCGTCCGATCTCAGATGGTGATCAATCGGAGCTCGTTAATGCGACGCCAGCCGTGCCGCTCGGATCGGCCGCCTCCGGTCGGGCGGTCGGTGGGACCGCTCGTTTTTGTCCGACTCGTGTCGTGTCAATCTGTTTGTGGCGGCGCGACTCGATGGTATGTGAGACTCGACTGGTGGGTGGGGAGGACTCGACTGGTGGATGGGGAGGACTCGACGGGAGAATGGAGAGGCTGTCCGCCTTGCTGTGTCTTCTCCGGGTGGACTGGACCAATCGCTTGACGTGGCAACTCGTCACTGAGTCGTTCTTATGGGCCCCGCTGACGGTGCTGTGCCCTTCCTCCCTTTAGGCGCCATGTCTCCGCTGCGGCGCCTCGGTGTGTGCTTCCCCGGCTCTGACAGTGTTGTACTCCCTCCTCTCTCAGACGCTGTGTCTGCGCTGCGGCGCTTGGGCCCTGGGGTATGTGTCTGTCTCTGACGGTGGTATCTCCTATATCCTACTCTCTCAGACGCTGTGCCCGCACTGCGGCGCCTCGGTGTGTGCTTCCCCGGCTCTGACAGTGTTGTACCCTTCTCTCTCAGGCGCTGTGTCTGCGCTGCGGCGCGTGGGGTGTGCCGGGCGGCGCCACCCCGGGCAAGTACCTGGTCGGTGTGCGCGTGGTACGCTGTGACTGGGTGGCGCCCTCGCTCGACGACCACGTAGTGCTGGCGCCCGGCGGCGACCTCGGCCTGGCGCGCGCCCTCCTGCGCAGCATCATCAAAAACGTCAGCGTCACCTTCTTCTTTCCGATGTTTGTGACGGTGTTCTACCTGGACCACAACCGGACGCCGTACGACCTGCTGGCCGGCACCATCGTCGTCGAGCCGGCCAGGCGGTGAGTCGGTGAGACGGTGGGCTGGTGAGAGGGTGAGAGACTGCTCGGTCCCCCTGCCCGGGCGACCGTCCCTTGCGGCCATAATTAATTGCACCGGGTGGCGTGTCCGACATCATATGGTCTGTGGTGAGAACTTGTCATGGTTAAGGTGTCGTGGATGGACTGAATGATTGGTTTCAGAGGCGAGGTGGCTATGTGCATATAGAACGTTTCCTGGAGCTTAGGGAGCTTCATTGTGAGTTGTGTTGATATGTTATTGGAGAACCAGGGCCGGTCGGAAAGGCTCTGTCTGGGCCTGTGGTGATTTATGTTTTCAATTTATGTATATTTAAACTATGGTCGTGTCAAATAAGTTGATTTATGATCGCTGCATGGTGATATCTCTCCTGTGTGTGATAGATGTGTTTGTATGCCGCTATTTGTCTCCAAGAATCTACATGATATGGTGCACCGCATTTTCAGTGACTCGACATGGACCATGGATATAATTGAGGTCAGATGATAAGTTCTCTTAACTCACTGGGTACCATTTTTACGGTGTCGGAAATTATTACGTTTGGTTTGAGTGGAAATTTGTTATTTCATTAAATATTATATGGCCACCTATATAAATGCTGATTTCCGTAACATTACCAATGAAGTGTTTCTGAATGATATGAAATTCAATGTTCTCTCAGCCCCTTAAACATGTTAGATTCCCAGAGTTGGTGACCGAAAGATGTAAAATATTTTGGCTTTTGAAAGACGAAGTGGTATTGTCAAGTCCTTTACGGATCTCCATTGTTGCATGTAAGTATCCTAAGAATTCAAGTATTTCCTTACCATGCATTACTTTGTGTCACCTTGCTCATTGCTGGTAGTCCAATTAAAAAGCGATCAATTAACACTCACCGGAGACTCGTTTGCAACTGTGCGATGATGGAAACTACATACAGGTCCGTTCCTATAGCACATGAGAATAACTTAGCCTGGATCCGAATGGCATCAACCGTGTATGACCGGCGGCGAGAACTACGCCATTGTGTGACGTCTAACTGAATTTTGGTCTGTGAGCGCAAGTCGAATGATTGCGATATTGAGTATTTTGTCCAACGTGATTATTATTTTGTTAATGTATGGGTTGCCCAAAAAGCTGTGTCTGCGGTGAGCTACTTTTTTGTTGATCAACTGAAACTTTGTATGGGACTGATTGGAGAGGGAGTGAGGTTGACACATTAGTGAATAGTGATGCATTTACTCGCACACCAAAAGCGTTGGACCAACCTAATGGACCAGCATATTATGCATGATATACGCACGGCTCTTCCAAATGGATTTGAAACAGATCGTTATGAGTGCGTAAGCTCTCCGACTGGTTGGTGACACCGTATCCGTATCATTATCGGCCACTTGCTCATGAGCATGTAGTTTTTGTTTCTGAGCTGTGAACGATTCCCCCATATGGCGTGCTGCCGGGCCGGCATTCGAAAATGCATTGCTGACGATTTATTGCAGCTTAATTTTGGCCGGAGCTGGCAGCCCTATTCGTAGCAGGCAATAATACGGGCGCCAGCTGAGGGTATGCCATCGTAAAGTTGATGTTATTATCCGGGTAGTGCGAAACATTTAGCGAGTATCGAGACACAGACATAAATCCAGTTTCGAGGCTGCAGGAAGAATGTAAATTGTTTAATGAATATGACGCTCGTAAAAGGCTCAGTTACGATCCACATTGGGCATCAAGTTCGAAAGCCAAGGAACTTTGAGCGAACATTCCCATGGGAGCTGAATGATATCACAACACCAGTGATAACTTTGCATTGTTTAGACCTTCTAGCTCACCGGTGCAGGATGTTCCGACATCTGAGCTCTCCCCGGGCCGGCGACATTGATCGGTCCGTTTTACTCCCATGATCACACTGACCAGCCGTTCACCCGTTGTGCCTTATTACCCCGTAACATTGACCCGCCGTCGGCCGCTGTGTCCCGCTGTGTTTTACCCTGTAACATTGACCCACCGTCCGCCCGCTGTGCCCCCGGGCCGGCCGGTGCACGTGCTGCCTCTGACCGGTCGACTGACCCGCCGCGCGCGGTGACCGCCGCCGAGTGGCCCGCCGGGACGAGCGGCCGCCGCCGCCCGGTGTCGAGTGGCTCGTAACCGGTTTAGCGGTGGGGTCGGACCGCGTCGCCACTTTGCCTGCCACGCGAACGAGCCGCCGCCAATTGACCCCGGTCGTCGGCCGGTGGGGAGGGGGAGGGGTCGCAGAGACGGATACAGTGCGCAGTGCAGTCACTGGGGAAATGTTCAGCATGGTCACACCGCTCTCAGTAAAGTTGGGAAACGGCCGACACTCCGGGCTGCTGATTCGGTGTCAGTGTCCGATGTGTGGGTCGGCGCGACCCCGGGTGACCTCCCTCTCTGACGAGAGTCCCGTGTCGGTGACGGATATCCGCCGCAGTTCGCTCAGCGACAACAGCTCCCCAGGCGCCAGCGCCGCCGTTCGGCGCCGGACAGTGGCTGACCCCGACCCGGTGACGGCCTCTGCTGACCCCGACCAGGTGACCGACCTCTGCTGACCGATACCTGCTGACCTCTGACCGGCCTCTTCTGATATCTGACCTCTGACCGGACTCTGACTCCGGTCCGGTGACCGACCCCTGCTGACCTCTGACCTCTGACCGACCCACGCTGACCTCTGACGGACCCCGACCCGGTGACTGACCTATGACCGACCTCTGACGGACCCCTACTGACCTACCGACCTCTTTTGACCTCTAACCGACCCCTGCTGACCTCTGAACGACCTCTTCTGACCACTAACCAACCCCTGCTGACCGACCCCTGCTGGCCCCGACCTGCTGGCAGTGGACTGACAGACTCGGCCGGTGACAGCGGACGAACAGACCTTCTCTGGCAGTCCGCGGCGCTATCAACAAGGACTCGATGAGGAGTTGGCGTAGTTGTGTGTCCTTACAGCCCTCATTAACGCTTAAGTAGTGCCTCTAATATTGATGTCAAGATTAAGGAGCAAGTGAGCTGTTGGTAATTTATAATTAAATTCAGCTTTTTTATATTCGCGGCTATCGAAAACACCAATCATGTTTGACTGGCTGTTTTCTCAGCCAATAAAAAGCAAACTCGCCGACCCCGCTTAGTCAACGGATCTCATTATAAAACTTCTGTCATGATGCCAAACTTGTACGGGACAAGTTTGACTGGGTTTGAGGCGGTATGTTCCGAAGCCGTGAACGCGGGGGCGGTGGCAAGTGGCACGAACGATATCCTATAGCGGCCTACCGTGGAGCGGCTGAAGTGCTGCTCGCCTGAAACGCTGAGGGCTGAGAGAACGGATATCCCCTCGCTGAAGACTAAGAGAGCAGGCCTCCTCGCCCTTCCCCGCCCCGTTGAGGGCTGAGAGGGCGGCCCCCTCACCCCCACCCCGCCCCGCCGAGGGCCGTGAGAGCGCGCCGGCCGCGCCCGGCGCTCGGCACGTCTGTTTTCCGCCGGTGGCTCCGACGCCGACGCCCGGATGAATATTCAAGTGTGCGCCGGTGTCGGTGGCGCGGCGTCCGTCCCTCTAACAGATGACGGCGCGCGCCGGGACACCAGATGGGGGTCGCCGCAGAGAAACGCCAACCGAATTAGGGAAATGAAGTGGATTTGGACGAGGCTCTTTCGGGAGGTTATGCTAACGATAGGGGAGAGCGGGGAGAGTTGTATCATGTCCAAGTTGTATCAGGGCGAATTATGTCAAACTTATCCAATAGATGGCGCTCGTGATACGACCAGCCGACGAAGTTTTCCGGGCGCCATGTTTCCCTGTTCTGTCGTGTGGCTGGGTGGACGCGTCTCGAGGTGAGAACCAATTTTATGTTTTTTTAATGTCATTCTGAAAAAATAAGTTGCAAGAAAATGTGTGTTTTGGGCATTTAGATGTGCACGAATTTGAAAGATCTCCGTAGCGGTGGTGAGGGTAGGTTCTAAGGCTGCGTGAGTGAAAATGGATTTCTCCAGCTGTCCGCTGTTTTTGAGCACGAGGATGTTTTTTTCCAAGATGGCGGCGAGGTACATGTTGTATCAGAGCCGGGTGGGGTATGTTGTAACATGTATGTATATATGTACGTATGTATGTATGGGTATGTTGCTTTTGATCGCGAAAGCTAAGCCCTGGCTCGCGTTTGTAGGTAGCTAGTCAATACTCGTTCAATTTCGGCACAATGTGTTGGCTTCTTTGCTCTTAAAGGGCCACTTTTGCGTCTAGTCTGTTGGTGTTTCGTTCGGATTGCATTGACCTAAGTTTGGTCTAATAAAAGTGAAGCCTTTGAGCATATACATTGTATATTAACCCCATTTAATGTTGTTGCTATGTTCAAAACCAGTAGCAAGCACACTCCCTGAAACGTGAAATAGTGATACAAATTACCCCACCATGTGATACAACTCACCCAAGCCATGGGGCAAGTTGTATCAAAAACATTGTTCTATTTGGCAGACCGTAGAAGAAAAACTGGTAGAGGTAGCGGAAAAGTTACTTTGCACAAAAAAGCAGAAGAATCAAGGAAGGGGATAGTATGGAAATAATGAGTTTATCACAGATAGTTACGAGGTTATGGGTCTCGGAGTAAAAACTGATACAACCCACCCCACTCTCCCCTATGTGGTGATCCAGCCTCCAGTTAAGAGCGACTTTTACGGACGGGGACTCCTAACTTCGTCAGGTGGTGAGGACTTGAATAATACGATGATGTAGATGCAGTCCAAATATCGTCAATGTCGAGTGAAGAAGGAGTGCAAGGAAAATATGGATACGAGCATTCAATCGTTGAAGTTAGCACCTGTAGGTAATGGAAGATACGTGGTATCATACCGGATGGTCCCCAATAACACTCAGATCATAACAATCGCCGTGCTCTTTGGTTTGCTGAGCCCTCTTCCTCAGAAAATGTCGTTTTCTATCTTGGTTTTCCTCGTTGACTACGACAGCAGTTGATAAGATTCATCCGGTTCTTTGAACTGGCTGTTCCCCGGTTTGGCTCAGTGATATTCCACAGTGGTGCTCCTTCCAAGCTTCTGCGGCTCATCCGTCCGTTATCTGAGTGTTGTTTGCAGGCGCTCCGGTTATCTGCGGCTGGTTCGACTGTCAGCGCACCGCCCGCTGCGCCAAATGTTCGGGAGTAGCATGCATGGATAACGCTACATGTGTGCTATCGGCATATGACTACGACAGCAGTTGATAAGATTCATCCGGTTCTTTGAACTGGCTGTTCCCCGGTTTGGCTCAGTGATATTCCACAGTGGTGCTCCTTCCAAGCTTCTGCGGCTCATCCGTCCGTTATCTGAGTGTTGTTTGCAGGCGCTCCGGTTATCTGCGGCTGGTTCGACTGTCAGCGCACCGCCCGCTGCGCCAAATGTTCGGGAGTAGCATGCATGGATAACGCTACATGTGTGCTATCGGCATATTTGACGTCACGTTTCTGTTATCGGCCGCGGCTCCAGCGAGACGGCCGAAAGAACCAGACTCGAACTGCAGAAATGTGACTGGTTTCTAAGATTACACGTTGACGATAAAGTACTTTCAAAAGGACAGCTTTGAAGAAAATGTTTTTGTTGAATGATAGGTATGTTAAATGGATGGCAATGTTGGATTCCTGAACTTCGCATTATGCAGCAATAGGCACCTTTGTTGGCCACCCTTTATTCATTGCTTTGTCAGAATGATGCGGGAAAGCTGTACAAAAATTGAGATAAAACATAATTCGTAAATAAAATGCTTCCGCACCGGGAGAGATGACATTAAGGCTAATACAACTATTAGAATACATATCTGACTTAAGCCCGGGGCTACGGGCTACCAAGAAAAGTATATACCAACTGATGCCGTGACTTCACTCGTCCTTTAATCTGTGATCGACAGGGGCAGTAAAGTTGCGCTGTGATAGGTATTATCTGCAAATAGAATAAGAAACCTCGCAATACTTCGCCGAATCGGTAAACTTTGGCAATAGTACATGCTTAACACGCGCACCGACGGGGGTTTGCGCCAACTTCGTACCGACGGGGGGGGCGGATGACCGCCCCCCCCCCTGAGATCTCGAGAACGAAGCAAGATAGCGACAAGCGGTAAACGGCAAGGGATACGCACGGACAAGGT